CACACACACACACACACACACACTGTGTGATCCAGTGTTTACGCAGAGATGGCGTCCGTCCTCGCGCCACAGAGGCTCCAGAAACAACTAAAAACAGTCCGAGGTGAAAAAACAAGCTCAGCCCGCCTCCCTGCTCTCTGCGCGCCTTCTCCAGCCTCTGAGAGGAAAAAGACACCTCTTTGGCACAATTTAAAGCTACTCTTAGAGACATATGTCATCAAAAATTAAAAAAAAATCTATTAAAATTATCCTTAAAAGGTGCAGCTTGAGTTTTCATATGCAATACTGAAATGCGGGTATGCACTGATTGTCAACAAAAACCGTTCTGTACCTAACAAACCTGATRCCAACTAGCAAGAATTTGGTGACACGTTGCATTACAGGTTTGCTATTTTTTTCCTCCAAAAGAATCTAATTGTTAAAAGGCTCAGTATAAAGAGCATTACATGCATAAAASCTGATTAAATTCAGTTTATTTTTATGCAATCAGAAAAAAAACCAAACAACAGTGAGAACTGCGTTTGTGTTTCACATTTCTTCTGATAGCATCCGTCCATTAACCCTGAATTAAAAAATTGATTCAGTATCAGGAAAATGAAAAACAGCTTTGAAGCTTTCGCGAGCCTCGTTAAACGCAGTGGCTGGCCCCATTTGGCCCACAGGCCTTCAGTTTGACACGTGTACAAACAAACTGGCTCACAAATGCAATTTATATTTGAGAAAATACGAACGTTTAGATTTTTATTTTTATTTTATTTTTGTTTTTTGCCCAGTCATCGTGAGATTCAGTAAAAAGATTAATTATTCATTGAAATTAAAATAAAAAAAACTGGTGTGACTRTTGATGGGATGCTGATTGGCTGTCTTGGTATGACATCATCAGTAAATAAGCAGCCTCTGACTCTGTTGTCTGTTTGAAGTTGCTGTTTGTGTGTTCGTGCTAGATCACCAAAAATCTAAGGATTTGTCCTTTGTGAGTAAAGCACCATGCCCTGAAAAGTTCGTGAAAATTTGATGGTAACTTTTTGACTTACAGGAGTGATTTTCCAAAAAAAAAAAAAAAAAACAATGCCAAAAACATAGGGGCCTAATGTCAGGCTATTATTGTCATTATGCAAATTTATGATTTAAATTCTTATCTAATGAACTCATTGTTCGGCCAAACTGAGCTCACCGGGGTACATGATGTGGCCCCCGGGCCATCAGTTGAATAGTCCTGACTTACTAGTTTTTTTGAATAACTTCAGTTCACTGAGTTTACATAAAACAGCAGATGACTTTGTCCAAAAATAAACAAATAAATCAGGGATATCATTTTTAAAAATCGTTTTCAACATAAAGTCATGTTTTTGATGAGTCGAGCTCACCTTGATTCACTCCRAACAAGTCCAGTTTACAACATTGCTTTGTTGAATTAATTGCACGTTTATCTACCAAATCGTTGCATTTCATCCCCAGAGTCCAACTGTTCTGAAACAAATAATAAATTCTTGCAGTTTTTACTCAAACTAAACTCCACCTGGGCTCCAGAGACCTTCAGCTCTGCTCAGTGAAACAAACAGCTTCGGCCTCAATGAAGCGTAAAGTAAAAACAAGGGAGATGAAGTGGTTTTCTGGTCCACTGCCAGTCATGGTCCTCACATCAGCTGCCCCCCTTCCCCTAATGGACCACAGGGGGCCCTGGAGGACCCCACCTGAGAGACAAGAGCCTGGGAGCATATGGACAGGAGGGAAACAGACGTCATCTGCTGATGTTGCTCATAATTAGTAGGTGATGTCCTCACTGACACGACGACCCTAATGTGGGGTCAGGCACCTGCAGTAACGTCCGTGTTCAGCCGACACCACGACACAGATCTCACAGCCACAATCACAACCCACTGACGGTCCGTCTCCGCTTACCGGCTCTGCCAGGACCTGATAGCTGYACCTGAAATCTGATGACACACAACCTGTCTGGAAGCAGGCCTGAATCCTTCTTTGTTGGGCGGAAAAAATTACAACAAGACTGATTAAACTGGTTCTAAAAAGAGCATRAAGAAAACTTGTTCAAAATAAGAACAGTTTATAAATAATTTATAGATATTAGTGTTGGGATAGGACAAATTTATATAAAGTTTCAGACCCATTTATTTGAGTATTTTTCTGTTTAAAGAGGAACAAAAATGATTACATAACACATTGTATGTTTTTTTTCTCTTTTATGAGCGTTTTCTTTTTAGCAAGGAAGATGAAAACCAAAGATGACCCAATCAACTAAACCAGTGTTTCCCAAAGTTGGGGTCGGGACCCAAAGTGGGGTCCCGAAACATCAAGGTGGGGTCCTGAAAAKATTTTAGGAATTAATTACATTTTTGCCTTAGTTGTTACAAAGGAGTGAGGTTAGTGTATTTAAAATAGATAAATGTAGTATAAAAATATTGTTACTATGCCCATGTTTAGTTGACCTGATACAAATGTTTATCCTCCAAAAATAGTTGGGGGCACAGGTCTCTGCTGCTGTTATTTTGTGGGTCAAAAGCTGAAAAGTTTGKGAACCACTGCACTTTGGTTCCCAAAGTTGGGCTTGGGACCCAATTATGGGTCATGAAGCACCTTGGATAATCTCCAGAAATCAATTTAAAGGCTAATAAAATAATTGCTGATGTAATATTTTCCCTATAACTATTACAAAACCACAAAATACAGTAAGTATAAATAAGTATTTATATTTGTGTACAAGCTGTTTAGATTGTCAAAAAGCCTGTGTTTTTAGGGTTATTAACAAAGTTCGTGTCCTCAGACCAGTAATATTTGGGGTCACAAGTTTTTGCCATGGATATTTTGTGGGTCAGAAGATAAAAAGTTTGGGATCCGCTGAACCAAACAACACACTCACCAAATGAACTGTGGACGTTAACTTGGCTGGTTTTAGTGCCCTCTAGTGGCTAAAACAAATCACTGCACATTTCATRTGATTTTACCCACAAATGAGGATCAAAAGGAAAAAAATGTATAGGTCCTCTGGACGGGTTCTTCTTTAATAAAACGTTTCGTCTCTCTTCCAAGAGACTTCTTCAGTCTGAGAGTTTCAGGCAAAATCCAGGTCATTCGTTTTGCGTGTGCGATCGTGGCGAAAGTGCTGAACCGGAAGCAGCAGCTGCATTCGCTTGCTCGTGAGGATTTCATCATTCTCCGGCGGTCCATCCATGCTTCTCCGCAGCGCAGCATCAGCACTACTGAGGACCAGTGCAGAGATTTCCTCCTCCTGTCGGCCGTCCACGGTCCGCTTCGTTCGGCAGTCGCTCCGCCAGCCGCCCAGAAACCGGCCGTTTTGCACACCGGCCCGCTTTAGTAAGAAGAACAGGAATAAGATCACTCAGAGGCTTCAGCTCGCAGAAGAACGTGCTATCATGGACGGCAACATTGAGGAGATTCTCGCCCCTTTGAGGCTTGCAGTCAAAGAGCAGGTAACAGCGACTTGCATGTATTTATTTTAATTCTTGTAGACCCTTTAAGTCAATGCTATTGATTTCTAAACGGAGCTAAGTTTTTGTACTAGTCAGTCTAAATGTTAGGCTAACCGGCTAGCTTGACCGGCTACTCCCAGCCTGTCATTGAGAGCAGCCGTTTAAWGTTATTGGAGCTAGCTGTTAGCTCACAACCTGACAACAAAAACTAGCTGTTMGCTCACAAATAGGTTAGCTGTTAACTGACAACAGAAGCTAGCTGTTAGCTGCTATGCTTCTGTTGTGAGCTAACTGTTAGAGCTAACTGTTAGCTTTTTGCCACGTTTCAGGCGGCTGCTGCAGGCAGGATTYAGTCAGCAGGGTGGGGTTTAGGAAAGATGCCAGTTTTGTGATGCTACCAAAATCATCATTTTTGTTTCGTAAACAGACTAGAGCTGAGTCGTGTTTTGTTGGTGATGCAGTGGTGGTTTTTCCACTTTTTGTTTCGCTCTGGTTTAGGGGGATCTGGTGCGTCAGTTAAAGCAGGAAGGAGCTCCAGAAGTGGATGTGACTAAAGCTGTAGCTGAGCTAAAAGCAAGGAAGAAAGCTCTGGAACACAAGGTGAGTTATTCCTGTTTATTATGGATTTAGGTTTAGCCTGAAGGCTTTCATTCATTCTGTTGTGCTGTAAATGCTGGATGAGTTTATGTATTTATAAAAAAAAAAAACAGACTTAAATGTTTGCGTTCTGTCTGCAGACAGATGAGCTGCACAAAACCCATCTTATCACTAAATTTTCTGTCACCATGTTCCCAGAAGAACAGCTCTCTGGTTGTGTATTGCACACGTTACAGTTGGTGTAAACTTTGCAGGAGCTGGCGTTACAACCCGCAGATGACATTGACAGAACCAGGATGGAGGATACGCTCAAGAGGCGCTTCTTCTACGACCAGGCGTTCGCCATCTATGGAGGTAATTCTAGGAGTAAAGATCCCAGTTTCTTTCCGGGCGTGCCGTTTACYTGTCAGTAAATCTCTGCAGGTGTGAGCGGACTGTACGACTTCGGCCCCGTGGGCTGCGCGCTAAAGAACAACATCCTGCAAGCCTGGAGGCAGCACTTCATCCAGGAGGAGCAGATCCTGGAGATCGACTGCACCATGCTGACACCTGAGCCCGTACTCAAGTAAGGTTGCTGATTAGATGATGACTGATTAACTGCACARGGCTGGGGTTAGCTAATGTAGCTAATAGAGACATTCGCAGAGCTGGAAGCAGTTTTTCATGATTCAAATGTTCTTCTGTCAGAAAACAAATAAAACTCAAAGGTTTTATTTGTTTTCTGTTCATTGTTAATTCTAACTTTTTGAAGAAAGCGCCTGGTGGTTCCTAGAGTCGGCTCCAAAGTGCTGAAACTGTGGGTTTTTATTAACGGGCGCACATTGATTTCTGCAGTTTCATGCATGGAAGCTGCCTCCACAGCAGCGCTCCATAGCCCGGCTGCAGATACACGAGTTAACGAGTGAAACCGTGTCAAAATAAAGGTTTCGTTTCTCCGCCGAGGCTGATTTTAGTCCTCTGTCGTATTCTCGGCTCGTCCCAGGACTTCGGGACACGTGGAGAAGTTCGCAGACTACATGGTGAAAGATGTGAAGAACGGCGAATGCTTCAGGGCCGACCACCTCCTCAAAGGTAGGAACGTTTTCATCTCGGGTCTCATACTTTCTGTTCTGAAGCCGATTTAACAAATCATAGCGTTCAGTACACTTTTACTGGTTATTCTATATACCTGATACTGCACTCTTGTTTTTTTTCTATCTAACATACTGTCGCTCACTGAAGTGGTCTGACGCTCTGGAATGCTGGGATTGGTTGAAATCTTGCAGTTTATTGTTGTTAACCACAAAGAACCAGGTCACTTTAATGAGAGGGCTTCAGCTGCTTCTCCTCGGTGTTTCACAGCCTTCAGCTTTAAAAAAAAAACACTTCACTGCCTCATAAGCAGTACAGATGTTGATACCAACTACGACACAAATTGCAAAAACAGATACTGAAACGTGCTGCTGCATAAACRGTATTACCACAGTATTAATTAGTATTAGTTATTATTACAGTATTAATTATGGTGAACCTGTTTAAAGCATGACGATGGCCTGATGTCAGACAGAAATGTGTCACAATGTTAAACGGCTGCTGTGATCAAATTGAATCATTTCATGTTGTGGTTTCAAGTTGCTGTTTATTCTTTTGGCCACAAGATGGCGCCAAAGAGGACCGTGCTGAAAAATAGTGATTTAAAAAAAAAGCTTTTTTGAAAACAAACTTCATAAAAGCTTAATTTTTCTGTCACTAATTGTTACTTTGACGCTTTTTCATCTGTAAAATTAGAAGATAAACGTTTTTTGTGTAGTTTTTTTTAACCCATCTAATCCAATGAGGAGACAGGGATTAAACTGATTCTGTTTTTAACAAATAACGTACCTGTCAGAAACCAGTTGTATGTTTTAAGTGTCTCCTCGAAGTTCAATAACTAACATGCACTGAGAAGTTATTTATTATTATTATTTATATTTTCTGTCTTCCTCCTGCAGCTCATCTGCAGAAGCTGATGTCTGATAAGAAGTGTGCTGCAGAGAAGAAGGCAGAGATGGAGAGCGTCGTCACTCAGGTCAGTCTGAAGGGAACCTGTCCTCTTCATTACCCAAACAGGATTTATCTGAGCTGTTTCAGTCTGTTCTCAGATGGACAACTACACCCAACAAGAGCTGACGGACCTGTTCGTCAAATACAACGTCAAGTCTCCGACCACAGGAAACGAGCTGGCGCCTCCCATCTCCTTCAACCTGATGTTTCAGACGTCCATCGGGCCGGGAGGGAACATGCCGGGGTACGATCTAACCCAGACCCCGATGGGAGTTTGTGACGGGTTCAGATTTTTGTTACGGGTTTTCTTTGTGAATTTGCAGCTATCTGAGGCCTGAAACTGCTCAGGGGATCTTCCTCAACTTCAAGCGCCTCCTGGAGTTCAATCAGGGAAAACTTCCCTTCGCTGCTGCTCAGATAGGAAACTCTTTCAGGAACGAAATCTCTCCTCGATCCGGACTCATTCGGGTCAGGTGAGGAAGGTCTCGGGCTGTCCCTGCTACCCTTTAAAACAGTCCTGTTTGAAAACCCTCAGACGTCTCCCTGTTTCTGCACAGAGAGTTCACCATGGCTGAGATTGAACACTTCGTGGACCCGAGTGAGAAGGACCACCCTAAGTTCTGTAACGTAGCCGACCTGCAGATCATGTTGTACTCCTCCAAAGCTCAGACCAGCGGGCAGTCGGCTCACATTATGAGGCTGGGAGATGCTGTGGAGCAAGTAAGTATCTGATTATTGTAGCTGTGTTTTATTTAAACYAGGGATGGGCAACTTAAATGATGGAAGTCACAAGTTTCTGTTGAATCTACCAGAGGTCCGTAGTGCTGAAAACTTACCCAAATGTTTTCAAACTGACKTTTTAAAGTGTTTGTGTCTATATATGTATATTAAACCAATGCACAGTGCAGTAACTCAACATATTTCATKCTCAAATGCAGTKGCGGGCAGCACTMATTCAAATTTTAGTTGCGCAATTTCTAAAGCGCTGGTCAATTTATGTAGGTCTGCAAGTTCAAAAGCACATATGATCAATAGGAATTAACGGATATAATCTCTGTTTACCAGAAAACATTCAGGTCAGAGAAAAGTCAGCACTTAACTATCATCTAGTGGTAAAAATATTTCCTTKGACAGATTGGCACGTGTCAGCGCAGTTTGGGGAGGTGATTCGTAGAAACAGACTTTTAAATCATGGCGGTAAAACAAAAAATAATTGTGGATTGCTAGTTCTGCTGCTTGTTGGTCATTTTCTTATGTTTTTGGCAGAGCTTCGGTAAGAAAACATAGATATACAGTATTAGAAACTTGAAACTGTTTGTAGTAAAACTGAAGCAATGCATTCTGGGTAGGACACAGGACACAGAACAGAAACTCTGTTCTTTTCAAAATAAGAGCGTGAATTTAAACTGTTCGGTGTTTCTTTCTTTATTATTTATTTATTTAATATTTTTTGCTGCGGTGTCCCTCAGAGAGAAAGTACAAACTGCACAGCTGAGTGTGGTTCTGCAGACCAGAACCGCAGGTGGATTGTCRTCCAGTGAAGAAGCTGTAATTGCTTCCTGCCACGCAAAGACCTGTGGGAACAGTCTCTACTAAATGAAAACCGTGACCCAGGACAGTAGGTCAGAGTATAAAGCTCTGTAAACACAATGCAGCCTGAGGGCGTCGCTGTTTCCTTACAGCAAAGTTTCATTGTGTTAGAGACGGCTTGCCCCTCCAGTGTTCAAGAAAATGAAGACAAAGTTTTAATTATGTGGCTACAAAACGTAGTGAGACTAGACGGCTCTTTCTCTTTACTTAGACAAAATTGACGTTTGAATGTGAAACATTATTTGTGATTAGCGCTACTCAAGTCTAAATTTAGAAAGCACAAATCCACACATCATTTTAAGTGCCTGTGACACACTTATCCTTCAAATACAAAAAGTCAAAGAAAACATCTTTATACTTAAGAAAATTAGCATAGTACATAGGGATGTAAGAAAATATCCATACACTGAAATATCGCGATATTTCTTTTCCCGATACTGTATCGATATTCTAAAGCCCTGTATCGATTTTTTATTAAGGTTTAAAATGTCAACTTTCCTGCCAGCCATTCATTTTTATGTTGTAGTTCAGCCTCTGACCACTAGTTGGCAGCAGTGAGCCAGCCATTTGGCTCCTCTACCTCTTGAGCGCCAGAGAGTAAGGGTAGCATTAGCATTGTAAGTAAACATTAGCTTTTCTTTTTTTCAGTAAGAGGTTTTTATTTAATAGAATTTTTGGACAAAAAAATCGCAATATATCGCAATATATTGCCTTGCTTACAGTATCGCAATATATCGGATACATCGTATCGTGACCCCTCTGTTATGATATGTATCGTATCGCCAAATTCTTGCCAATACACAACCCTAATAGTACATATGTTTTTACCCATTTTGTCACATAACTGGCCTATTATCTTTTGAATTTGGCTCAGCCAAAGTGAAACAGGAAGTGACATCAAAGGAGAACTCATTAATACAATAAACTCTCTGGTCTTTGTTTATTAAAACAAAATTATTCGAACTTTAACTCTTCTTTTCTCTCTTGATAGCAACTAAAATTAATCTAAAGGAACATCAAATTCTCTACAGTCTGTGTTGTTAGCTTTTGTTACAATGCTCTGTTTACACGCTGACATTCCCCTTTGACATCACTTCCTGTTTCTTCACATGCAAACATCTCGACAACTGTTCATCTCAGCCACATGAAATTTGTTTTGCAATATGTTATCAGTTATTTTTCCAAAAATGCATTAATTTTTATTACAAAAATCTGATGTCACAGGCCCTTTAAAGAAATTCGTAAAACCCCTAAAGCGCAAAGGAGAAATTTAGGTCYGCAATTAGCGCATTTGCCCTTTAGGGGACTAGTGCCCACCACTGCTCAAATGCATGTATAACAGTGGTACTTTTGTTTAATAAATAAATGAATAAACACTTATTTAAAAAAAACTTCTCATATTTAGCTTTGTGCAATGGATTGTTGTGACTAAACACAGGTTTGCCCTGAAATTCTGTGAGCAGATAGTGTAGCTAGCATAAAATTAATTCTTATAATTAGTACTTTTTTGAAGTAAAAGAAATAATTCGGTGGCGGGCTGGACGGAGGTCACCTGCGGGCTACATGCGGCCCGCGAGTCACCAGTTGCCCATCCCTGATTTAAACAGAAACTAACATTTGCGTCATCACATTCAGGGAGTGGTCAATAACTCCGTCCTGGGGTACTTCATCGGGAGGATCTACCTCTACCTCACTAAAGTGGGCGTGGCCAAAGACAAGCTGCGCTTCCGGCAGCACATGGACAACGAGATGGCTCACTACGCCTGCGACTGCTGGGACGCTGAAGCCAAAACCTCCTACGTATGTCAAACCGCACCGTCACCCTTCAGGCTCTCCGCGCCGTGGTCTCAGAGATAAACTAACCCAGGTGTCTGTTCAGGGCTGGATCGAGATCGTGGGCTGTGCCGACCGGTCCTGCTTCGATCTGCAGTGTCACGCCCGAGCCACCAAGGTCCCTCTGGTTGCTGAGAAGCCTCTGAAAGAACCCATATCCTGCAAATGCAACACCGTTCACCTCTAGAATCGTCAAAAAGTGTTTAATCAGCAGTTTTTGTTCTTAACTTCTTCACACAAAACCGTAAACGTCGTCCAGTTTGTGGTCAACAAAGGGGCCGTCGGGAAGGTGTATAAGAAGGAAGCTAAGCTAGCCGTGGACTACCTGTCCGTGTGTGACGAGTGCTTCATCACGGAGCAGGAGGCGCTGCTGAATCAAACCGGGTGAGTCTCGTTCTGCAGGACTCTCACCGCACCGCTTTTTAAACGCCGAACTCRTTTCTCTTAACGGCTCACGTTTCTTCCTGCTCCGCAGAGAGTTCTCCATCGAGACGGACGGCAAAACGTTCAAACTCACCAAGGACATGGTGAGCGTGAAGCGCTTCCAGAAGACTGTGCACGGTGAGACCCCCTCCTGAGGAACAGGAACAAAGTCATGTTTGGCTTCCTCTCACTCGTGTTGTTTTTGTGGCGTTCAGTGGAGGAAGTGGTTCCCAATGTGATCGAGCCGTCCTTCGGCATCGGGAGGATCATGTACACCATCTTTGAGCACACGTTCCTCATCAGAGAAGGAAGTGAACAGAGAACGGTGAGTTTGATTACGTAACCATCTGTGTAGTGTTGACAACTTTATGACCTTTTTTTTTCCAAAAAGAAGCGGCAACAAATCTAAATCAAATTTTACTTGTCGCATACATGGAAATACACCATACGGTTTGCAGTGAAATATTTTAAGGGACAGATCTACAAACAGGAGCAAAAAATGTAACTTTAAAGGGATCCACGATTAGTTTTGACATTAAACTTTATTTGATAAACATTTATTTTAACTGTAAATAAAGACTGTAAAAATACTGTTCAGTTCTGTAAATTTAAAAATATATATTTTAACACAGACGGAGCCATTTTATTTACACGCAAAGCATTCTGGGTAAATGATGACGTGGATAGGTCCTCGGTGTGAG